GGGCGCTGCGGGGAGGGGCTGCCCGCGGTGCGGGGGGAGGCACTCGCGGTGTCCGGGGTAGGTACACGCAGTGTCCGGGGTAGGTACACGCGGCTTGCGGAGGTGCTGGCCTGCGGCTCAGAGGAGGGACCAGCCCGCGGCTTCTCGGGCCCGCTGCGCTGGTTCCGGGCGGCGGAGAACGTTCCGGCCGTGGCCCATCGCGGCTCGTTCGTGAGGCGGGGGAGGCGCGGGCCTTCCCCGGGATGTTCTCCCGTGAGGATTCACTGCTAGCTTTCCTGCGCTGTGTTCTCTGGGGTTACACCTAGCTGGTCTTCACAGTCCCCTTTCAGTCTAGGACTGGGTGACAGATTTTAGCTTAAAACGCCCTTATGAAAAAAGCATAAAGCGGTCACCAGTACTTCTTGCCAAGGCAGGTGTAGTGGGGGAAATGTACAAGAGCTAAAGTGATGCTTGTTGCGTTTACTAAAAGTTTTATGATTGGTTTGGATTTTTTTCACAGGTGGTATTTGGTGTATTATATTGAAGTGAAAGCCAAGCTGCACACAATACATAAATAATACAATACGAATTGAGATTGATCATGAAGATTTTTTGTGGAAGAGCCAATCCAACTACTGGTTCGATGGAGTGGTTAGAAGAGGGTGAGGATTATGATTATCACCAGGAGATTGCAAGGTAGGCTTGGAAAAGTAGCTTGCTTTTCTGTTACAAGACACCGAAAAATGAGCAAGTGCAACTTTTTTTAAATGGCAATTTGAGGATCTGTCTTTGTAGTGGTTCCAAGGGCACAAGGTGAGCAGACTGCAGGATAGTCTAAATGTCAGTAAATGTGCCCAGTGGTTTATGGGCAGAGCTGCCAATGTAAAATTTTGGAAATGACTCTCCAAGTACTTACCTTCTAAATTTTTTAAAATGTTTTCTGTTGGGCTAATCATAATACTGACAGTGACTGAGTTGGGACAAAATGCATTGACTAAATTTCTTTTAAATGCCAGTGCAGCATATAACTGCCAGTTGTCTGTTCCTGCTCTAGCTTTTTAAGAGCTTAGTGTAATAGCCAGAGAAGTTGGGATTTTGGGCTATTTTTGAATATTGCAACCCATGAAGAAAATGGGAACCAAAGAGGTTTAAGTCTTTAAAACTTCTCTCTCTTTCTAAAAAATAGGTCATTAGTAGCCTGTCTTTCATTGCTGTGTATGACTACATCTGTCTCAGGTGCTGCTTCACAGCTGTTTGTCCATAGGTCTGTACCTTGGGTCCACTGCTGTGGAGAGGATTTGTGCCAGTGGTTCATGAGTTGATTTATATGCTGATGGCCAGATCTCTGCCATTACATTATCTTTCAGGCTGGAGAACCACTTTAGGTCCTCAAAGAGTGTGTCAGTTGTTTGTGCATTTGTGGGCCACAGTTGCTTTGCATAATGGAGTATTTTAACTGGAATATTGTTTATTGCAGGTCACGCTATGCAGATATGCTTCATGATAAGGACAGGGTAAGTATAGAAGCAAAACCTTTTTGAATGGGGATAAAAGAGCCATTGCATTTCTCATGAATAGTTGTCACTGTGGATTATATGGGCTTCTCTGAAAGATTAAATGATCACATTTTTGTACTCTGTAAGGTAACAGACCTGCTCTTAGATCAACAGATGCCTTCTTACATCTGACTTTAGTGTTCTGTTGTTTACCTCAGAACATTTTTATATTCAGTAGCCATTTTGCTGTTCTGTGTTTGACATTTTTGACAGAGAGCTCATTAGATGAAATTTCAAAAGCTGTAAAAGTGAAGCCGGGCTTCTTAGTTTTTATAGGAGTGTAAGTCAAGTCTATTCTTCTGTGGTATTTCTACAGTATGTACAGCCATGGCGAAGTCTGGAGTGAATAGTATCACATTTGGAAATCATATGTATTTTATCAATGGCTGATTGTCCAAAGGTAATGTGAACATTGTAATAAATATTGATGTACTTTAAACAGACTGATCCTGCCAGATGCAGTTGTTACTGCTGCAGGTGGCTTTGGTGTGACTGTTTGGCATAAAGAGTGTCTGTACGCCTTTTTCTGGTTATAAACTCACAGTCAAAGAATGCAAGATTTCTGTGCAAAAATTAAAACCATAAATGGATAAAAGATTGCTGATTTTTTTTCTCTTTTCCACAGAATGTGAAATACTACCAAGGCATTCGTGCTGCAGTGAGCAGAGTAAAAGAGAGAGGTGAGAAAGCAATTGTACTGGATATAGGGACTGGCACAGGGCTCCTGTCCATGATGGCAGCTTCAGCTGGGGCAGATTTCTGCTATGCCATTGAGGTGAGAATTTGTTAGGGGTTGCAGATGTTCAACATGTTCTTTGTGATGCTCTTATTTTCAGGCTGTATACTATCTCTGTTATTTATGTTCTGAATTAAACAGAGATTCTCTTCACAATTGCACTGTTAATACAAGCAGGTTTTTGGCATACTTCAGTGACAATTTCAGTGCTGGTTGTTTTGGTTTCATTGACATAGTGTCTTGAGCACATGTAAGTCTTTAGGGGCTTCTGTTGATGCATTTATATATATCTCTATTTTTACAAAGTTGTAAGTTTCTTTAATGTAAATGCTACAATATAAACATGTATTCTTGTGTTTCTAAAGTTAAATTGGAGTAGCTTTTGGAGGCAGCTGATAACTCTAACAGTGGAGCTCTGAATTTTTCAAGTGAGGCTCGTTGCCTTGTTTCATGGTAGTGAACTTGAAATACAGGAAAAGATACAGAAGATGTTAATTTTTTTCAGAACTAAATATATTGTATATTGTGTTGGTGCCCTTCCAGTTTTGAAAGCTGATTTGAGGGGTACCATTTTGTTAAACTCTTGCTGTTCATAGGTGTTCAAGCCCATGGCTAATGCTGCTGTGAAGATAGTGGAGAAAAATGGTTTTTCAGACAAGATCAAAGTAATCAACAAGCATTCCACTGAAGTCACAGTTGGCCCAGGTGAGAAAAATAGGCTAAGCTTAAAAAAATAATACCTGAAAACCACAAAGGAATGTGTCTTACTCCTATTTCTTACACATTTTTTAATTAAAACAAGTGCTTCAAGAACACTGAGGAAGCTGGAGGGCGTTCAGCTCAGAGAAGAAGAGGCTCAGAGGAGACCTTATCTCTACAACTGCTTGAGAGGAGGTTGTAGCCAGGTGAGGGTTGGCCTCTCCTCCCAGGTGACAAGTGACAGTATGACAGGAAATGGCCTCAAGTTGTGCCAGGAAAGGTTTAGATTAGAGATTAGGAATTTTTATTTTTTTTTTCACAGAAAGGGTTGTAAAGCATTGAAAAGACTGCCTGGGGAAAGGTGGAGTCACCATCTCTGGAGATGTTAAAAAACATGTAGATATGGCACCTGAGGACATGGTTTAATGGTGAACATGGTGATGGTGCTGAGTTAGTGGCTGGACTTAATCTTAAAGGTCTTCTCCAATCTTAAGGATTCTGTGATACTTTACATTCTAGAAAATAACACTGGAAATCTACTTTGAAAGAAAGTGTTCTGGTAATATCTCAGTAGCAATTTGTATTTCAAATGCAAAGCAGTTTCCAGTCTTCAGCAGACTCTCTAGCAGGAATAAGTTTTCTAATTGCTTGTGTAATCAAGATAGCATCTTGAAAGATTTACATAGAGATTTAACATTACAGTATTAATTTGTGTCTTTTAGATGGAGATATGCAGTGTCGGGCAAACATCCTGGTAACAGAATTATTTGATACAGAGCTGATTGGAGAAGGAGCTTTACCAACCTATGAGCACGCACACAAATATCTTGTACAGGTAAGAAAAGAGGAAGTATGTCACATCTATCTAGTACAGAAATTCTTCTGCCTTTTTAAAATAGGATTGAGATTTTACAGAATTTTGGCTTCTGTATCCCTTGGTAAATACACCATCAACTCTGCAAGTTTCTTACTCAGTCAATAATTTACTAGATTCATTCCTAGAATAAAGCTATTTGAATTCATATTGTAAAACACAGGCATGTTTTTTGCATGGAAATTGCACCTACTTGCTTTGTGTTGAAACCAATAACTTGGTCATTAACAAAAGTCTTTTAGAAAGGCATCCAGTTCTGATGTGAAGCTCTCCTTAATAACAGCTTTGTCCCAAGATAAAAATTCTCCTGAATTTAATGAACTTCACCTCCCAGGCATTGGTTCATATTTTTTTTTTCCTATTGTGCTTTTACTTCTCCATATGCATTTTGCATGTGAAAATATTTTAAACGCTGTATTTAAATAATATCCTTTTTTTTTAAACTTAAAATCTATGGGTCTAATTTTAAGGCTTTTTCTTCTATATTTTCTAATATCTTCCCTTCATTAAAATGTGGATTGCAGAACTTTATTTAGGTTTCCAGATTTCCATTCACTAGTTTAAAAGGCACCATATAAAGACAATAGCACTCTATAACTTTGTACTGCTCTCCATATAGAACTCTAAATTGCAATTCATCTTTTTTTCTGTAAGAGCATTGTTTTTGGACTTCATGGTTGGATCTTAGTTCATAGTGGGTTTTTTACCACAACTTTGATGTTTTCCACTCTTTAAGCATGAATACAAAGTTGTCCTTGCATAAATATTTGAGCCATTATTTTTCTTATTTTCTCATTGCAGCCAGCAACTTTCTATTGTGGTTGGTAGTGTAGTAGTTTTCTTCCTTTAGAGGCTCAGGTTATATCTCTTATTCCAGAACAAGAATGGAAATGCAAGTGTAACTGAGGCTAATAAACTGATACTGTTACATGGTTGATGAGGTAATCTGACCTTGGTGAGCCACACTGAACAGGATAGATATGTGTATTCCATGTCACAGAGAGACAGATTGCTCTGATGTTACAAAAGTCTCTAAAATAACTTGTATTTTAGATATCAGAGCTCCCAGTCCAACTTTACTTTTAAATTTCAATTGATTTAATTCTCATTCATGTTGGTAAGTCAAACTTGTTGACTGTGTTTACCCTTTGTTTTGAACACTCAGGAGGGATGTGAGGCAGTGCCTCACAGGGCAACAGTGTATGTCCAGTTAGTGGAATCCAGAAGAATGTGGTCCTGGAAGAAACTGTTTCCTGTTCATGTTGAAGCAGAGGATGGTGAAAAAATTCTTTTTCCGCCTTCAGAAATGGAGAACTGTCCAGGTGTTCCTTCTGTTTGTGATATCCAGCTGAACCAGATGCCTTCAAGTGACTTCAGTACCCTTAGTGATGTGGTGACAATGTTCAGGTAAGGGAGATGTTGTTTTGTTAAAACAAAGTTATTCTGCTATGCCTTTCATATAAACTGTGCATTCAGCTTAAGAAGCCAGGGAGAATTTCTGAAGAATTCTTTTTACAATTTTCTTTCTATTTATAATTTTCATGCTTCCCTGCAGTGTGGATTTCAGTAAGCCAGTACAGAGTGCTTCTACCTACTATAGAGTGCAGCTGGAGCCTGTGAAATCCGGCAAGGCACAAATTGTACTTTCCTGGTGGGATATTGACATGGACCCCTCTGGGATGATAAATTGCACAATGGCTCCCTACTGGGTAAAACCCACTTCTGCTTTGCAGGTAAGATACTGAGCCTTTAGATACCATTGTCAGATGATTGGGCAGTTCTTTGGAGTACTGGGGGGTTTAAGCAGCTCTGCCCTAAATTGCTTCGGAACTTTGCTAATATTTAATGTATTGGAAGATGCTAAATAATCAAATTTTGGCTACAGTATGTGCCCATTTTAGGTTTTCTTTGATGTTAAACATTAAGAGTAATCTTTTTATGTAAAACTTAAAGACCGAAACTGTCTTCCTGATATTGTTATTTATTTTTTGTTCAAGAAATAAAGATTTCCAAATCTTTTTTCTTAACTAGTCTCTATCCCTGGTTAAAATATTAGACTGTGGTTTGATTCAATGTAGTTCTATTAAATTTCCAAATAAGTGTTATGTTTATAATAGTATATTTATCCTCTCATTAAAAAAGGAGGCTGATGTAGGAGAGTGCTGGATTGATATGAAAAAATACAGAAATATTATCACTATTAAGTCAGATTCCTGTATTTTTGTGTGGATGTATTTACCAGTAGGATGAACTTAGTCAAAAGGCAGTTACAAAATGATTGATTGTCTACACTTAGCATGTTTGAGAATAAAATCCGAAATTATCAAATTGGAGGTGTTCAGTCAGTGTGGAATGACTGATCAGCATAGGCTATTTGCAGTGCAAAAGCAAGCTTTTTGAAGCACAAAGTGATTGTGCTGTGATCAGAGTGACAGTAAATAACATAATCCTAGGTGCTGGAGGCTGTCAGCAGTTCGGTACAGGTTTCTAACACAAGTGAACTGTGGAGGTGAAACAGCATTAATAAATGCAAAGCAATTTTGGGTTGTTTTTCATTTGGTTGAAATAGAAGCCTGGCCAGTGAACAAGCTAATGGTCTCAGGCTTATTCTGTTGCAAAAAATGAGTGAGTGCCTAAGGTTTTGTGTATCAACCCTTTTCAGTGGAGAGATCACTGGATGCAGTGTGTTTATTTTCTTCCACGTGAGGAGCCAGTTCTGCAGGGTGAGAAGTTGTACCTGACTGCCTCTCGTGACGAGTACTCTGTGTGGTACAACCTGCAGAAAGCCAGGTAACAATCTCTGTCTGAAAAAGGCTGCTATCTTACTCCAAGCTGGAGTATTTGCTGCTCTTAGAGCATCTCCTTTTGTAGAAGAGCAAGATGAGAACCTAAAGAGTAGAAAAATATTAAAGGCTGCTTCATGGGCAATGCACAGGTGGAAAATACACATTAAGCATAAAAACTCAGTTGGACTGCAAGGTCCTGCCTCCTGGTTGCATTCTCTGACAAAGAAGCATAGAACACTCATGCTTTATTCTTGGTAATCCTAAAATACAGCACAGCTGAAGTGGAATACAGGTAAAGAAGTGAAATAATTGCAATTCTGTTTCCATTTTCTATTTTCCTAGTTAGCACTGTCCTTTTGAGGCTACTGCCTTTTGCTCAGATTAAAAAGAGCTTAATCATGTTGGTTGCAATGACAATAGCAGCAAACATTTTTAAAACTAGTGCTAGGTTTTTTGCTATGCCTTTTTTACTTAGGAATCCAAAATCCAAACAAATAACTGTTTGCTGAAAGGGCAAAGCCTAAAGTACCTAACCATCAGAGTTAGTGGGAAAGTGGGGGATTGTTCTTGGTTTTGTTTTTGAAAGAAGGTGAAAATTCTTTTTGACCTCTCTTCACTTGGAAATGCAGAATTACAGAAATGTAAATTAGAGGACATAGTCTCAAGCTGCACCAAAGGAAATATAGGTTGGATATTAGGAAAAGGTTTTTCACTGAAAGAATAATAAAGTACTGGAATGGTCTGCCCGGGGAGGTGGTGGAGTCACTGTCCCTGGAAGTGTATAAAGAAAGATCAGATGTGGCACTCGGGGACATGGTCTGGTTGTGGTGCTAGGGCATGGGTTGGACTCAATGATCTTGGAGATCTCTTCCAACCTAGTGATTCTGTTGTTGAATTCTGTTGTCTCTGGAGAACCAGTAACTTCAAAAAAGTGACAGCAGAGTTCATATTCATTACTGTGCATATCAGCCAAAGCGCATAAATGTACCTGTTTGCAAAAACGTGGTACTGATGCTGTAGTTGACACTACATTAAATTTTTTTACAGAGAAGGGGAGAATAAAGCAGATGAAGAGGAGCATAAAGCAGATGTTTGTGTGGAGAGTCCTGTCTGTAGGTGTCGCGCTCATCTGCTTTGGAACAGGCCCCGCTTTGGGGAGCTGAATGATCAGAACCGAACACTCCAATACATCAAGTCCTTGAGGAAGGTGAGTGCTTGTTGCCTACAGGTTTTATTGCCTTCTCTGATGGATGCACATACTGGTTTATTTGGAGTAATTTTTTATGAAATTTGCTTGTCCCCTGCAAAGAACTTTGATCACATAGTATATTTTTCTTCCATCACCAGATGGAAGTTATACTTTTGTCTTGAAAACTTTAGTATTAAATTTTTAAATGGTAAGCAGCCATTTTTGCATAGAATTTGTAGCAGTTCTATGTGTTTGTTAGACATAATAATGGTAGTTGAATAAAGACATCCAATACATTTTTGAGCAAACTTTGTCAGACCTAAGCCAAGGGCATTACGTGACAATTTTTTTACTATTATTGGATATGAAAGTGTATAAAGTGTGGAGAACTTTTCCCTCTGGAATAACAATGACTATTTATTCTCTGTAGGTTCTGAAAACAGATAGTGTTTGCCTTTGTATCAGTGATGGCAGTCTGCTGCCTGTGCTGGCTCACTATCTTGGAGCAAAGCAGGTACAGTACTTTGTCCTGTTTTTCAGATCTTTCCATTTTAGCTTAGTATTTTTCTCTGATGTAATTCATTTCCAGCTCATTATTTTACTATTTGCAGTGCCTCCACAGGGACAAGTGGGGAATAGGCTCACATTGTGTTGAAGGGAAAGTTAAACTCATCTCTGGTCAAGCTGAAGTCTCAGAAGATAATAATTACCAGATCTGACATTTACTAATGTGTAGTTTTGAGGGAAAGTGCTGTTCTTCATTCCCCATTTCTTCCTGTTTGCCATCTTGTATCTTGTGTTTTTTGAAAACACTCTTTCTATGGACCTAAACATCTGGCAGGGTATTTTTCTTTCATGTTTTCAATTCCATAATTACATTTATTACCTGGTCTCAAATAGAAGATCTGTAAGAGCCAAGATCTGTGGGAAGCAGTCAGAATACTGCGTCTGTGTGTAACAGAGAACTGAGAGCTGCCTGGCTGTCTCACATACATAAATGCCCTACTTGATGGGGGGCTATTTAAACTAAAATCTGTTAGAGTTGAACTGAATATCAGAATGTGTAATGTAATATAATCATGAGGAATGTAGCATATTGCCTAACAATTCATCAATTTTGAATAAAAACTAATTTTTTTTTCTTACTGCAAAAGGCTTCTGAGCACTTTCCAGCTAATACAGTCCAGTCATGTTAACCAGTAATTTCAATTTGGCACACCGGTAATATGCTTGCATTTGTTCATGGGTAAATATGTGCTTAGAGCAAGTGTTAATGTGCTGTGTGCAACTTAAAGATGGAAAATAAATATTTGCATTCTGTTTAGTTTGGTTTTTTTCTTGTACAGCTGTGAAAATAGAATTATTTAGCCTGTAGTTTGGGGAGTGTTTTGTTGATAAAAAAGTTCATTGCAGTGGGCTCTGGAATAGATGCATGGTTCTTATGAGTTGTGCTCACTGGGGCATCAAAATGTTCCTTCATTCTTCAGTTATATATTCTTTTATTTAAAAACTATAAAGCTTATTTGACTAACTGTGTATTTTCATTAGGTGTTTACATTAGAAAACTCTGGTGTATCCTGTTCTGTCATGGAAAAAGTGAGTATTCCATTTCCTGTTGAAGCTGGACCTCTCCTTGCCTCTTGGCTTGTCTGCTTGAGCTGCTGCTCTGCTGCTGCCATTGCCTTGGTGATAAAAGCCAGGCTGTTGTTTCTGAGGATTAGTGAGAGCGTCCCAAAGCTTGCACCAGCCCTATCTGGCAAGCAGCATCCAGCAGTTGTCTTCCAGCTGAGCCAGGTTGGGAATGCCTGCTCTGCTGCTTGCTCTGCTGTGGGGAATGGCATGGAAGGCTCTGCCAGTGGAGTGGAGGCTGTTCAGGAGAGGCAGCTGGTGCCTAAGAAGTGACTGGAAGCAGCTTCCAGGGGTCATCAGTGGGCTGTGGCTCCTTTAGTTGACACTGTATTTGAAAGAGATCTGGCTCAGCCTGTGGCTAGAAGTACAAAACCAGGAATGGTGAGAAAATGAGGACTCAAACTTGGTCTCCAAGGAAAGGCAAAATATTTCGTGTATTCATAGGTGACATGATTCTTACCTTCCTTGATTATCCTTCTCGTATGTTTCAAAGTATAAATGAATGAAGGTGAGGCAACTTTTTTGTTATCTGATACTGATAATTTAAAGAATACTGAGGGCACATGATCTAGTTCCCTAGGTGTGACACATTGACTCTAGGTGCTTGCAGCCTTCAGGAATAGACTTGTATCATCCTCATGAGTTATGACAGGCAGTTTTATTAAAATTTCTTTTGGCTGCTGGATTTTTTCTAATTTATTTTCCGTAAAATTATTATTTTGGTCTCAACTGTGGCTTTTGATAAAGACAATGTGTTACTTTTTGATTTTAGTTTTTTAAAGCAAATCATCTTGAAGATAAAATTAAAATAATAGAAGCACGGCCTGAGTTGCTGAAGCCTTCTCATTTGGAAGATAAAAAGGTATGTTACAGTTGTCCATTACACTGAATTTCAGGGGTTGGTAGGAAGCAGAAGGTAAAAATGAATGGTAACCACAATGAATTCTGTTATATTCCAATTCATATAAAATGTAGTGAGTAAATGATTCACACCATGTGCCACTAAAACTAAAGGAGATTAAAGGCTGTGGGAGGGTTGTTGCTTTGTTTTTGAAGTGTATGACTTTCCCTGCTGCATAATTGCCCCAGCAGTTAAGGCAGTTTAGCTGGTTCTTCTGCAAGGCTCTAGCTCTCTCACAGGCCACTTGACAAGATTGCAATCTGCTTGGAAGTAATAACATACTTCATACTTCAAAATTTCAGAGTTCTGTAACTCATTACAAAGCCTTCCAAACTCAAACTACGATATTTTCTCACAAAGTTTGTTGTGGGAAAATTCAATATAAAATGTGGTAACTAAGCGCACACAACAATGCCCAGTATGCTGTATGTGCAGTGTACAGTAATTAAATCCCTAGGGAGCAGTAGAAGTTTTTATCTAGATGATTTTACTTAATATATTGCACTGGCAGCTATTGGAAAACCTAAACAGCCTGTGTTGTGAGTTGTTCTTTATTATATGTCTTTTTATCTCTTCCCTTCTTTGCCAAGATTTCTGTCCTTGTGGGAGAGCCGTTTTTCACAACAAGTTTGTTGCCATGGCATAACCTGTATTTCTGGTATGCCAGGACAGCTGTGAGCAGTCACCTTGCCAGCAATGTCACTGTCCTACCTCAGTCTGCTTCTTTGCACATGATGATTGTGGAGTTCCAGGTGAGATTGTTCAGATATTTACACAAATCCATTTAAGACTGAATACTCTACAACTTTATTGCATCTTAATACTGTCCAAATGTTCTCTACCACCTGAGAAAAGAATATTTGGTATCTTGAAGTGTGAATTTTGCTATTTGAGCCATCTCTTGTCAGCATATCAGCTCAAGTAATTTTGCCATTTAAAATGAAAGGGCTGCGTGTTTTAAGATGCTTATTTAGATTAGAGATTGGTGAAGAATGTGATAGTTGTAGTTATTTATAAAATTAGATACTTTATTGTATAAATAATATATACATATATGTATAAAGTAGATACTCTGCAACATATCACCCTCAGTTTTGAAATGAGGCTTTATAAAACTGCAGGCAGGATTCCTAATTGCATGTGGGTTTTTTTAACTGAGGCTGTGCACAGTTCTGAATATGAGCACATCTTAAAAATACTTTGAGAAGTCATCTTTCAGATATTGCACAAAGTTATAAACATATTTTTTTCATTTATTGAGGACTTTGTAATAAAAGATTGTGTTTACCTACCATGAAAATGGAAATTAAGTACTTATATCATTAATATGCAGAGTCCAGTAGCTTAAGTGAGGGAACTCTGTAGTCTGGCATTGTGTTTTAAATAAAAATGCCTATAATCTAATGAATTCTCACATAAATACAGCCTTCAGTTTATCTGTTAAAAATGCCAGGTCTTTTTTTGAGTTTTTGTGCCTGAGCCTTCTCTCCCTTAACAGTTTCTTTATTCGAATGTTTTTTAACCTTGTTCTCATACTAATGCCTTTGATTGGTGCATATGTAAATGGATTTGTTCTTTTGCCCCTCTGGGCTAATCAACTGTGATGAACATTTTTCCAGTTTTCTGCAAAAATGTACGGAGTTTAAGTATATACTGAGTAAATAATATAAATCTGAATCCTGTAATAGGGAGCAGATATTTAAAGTGATCAGCAGTAATCAGATTAAAAGTAGCAGTAAATTTTAATTCCATGCTCTCTTATCTAGAGGACTTACTTCCCTAAAACTCAAGGCATTTTCTGAGGAAGTAAGCATTATTCTTTCCATGTTCTGGATGAGGAAACCAAAGCATGCAGAGTGATGACTGGAGATTATTCAGCAATCAGCAGAATGTAGAGTAACATTCATGTCGCCTAAACCTCAGTTTTACATTTACATATACAGAGTTTGTTCAGAGATGATTCCACATAAAATTTTTGGTAGAACATTTAACTTGTATTTTGTTCCAGTAGGCTACCTCAAAGCTATTGTTTTAATTTTACATTATTTTCTTTCAGTGGTGAGTCTAGTCTAAAAGACTGGAATCTGAGGGATTTTAAAAATAACCTCTGCACTTACCAGACAGAAGTAATAGAGTATTGCATGGTCTCCTGCAGAACTGGTTCTAGGCTGTTCTGTCCTCTCAGAATGGATATGTCATCATGATTTAGAAACTGGCAAAACCTGGATCCAGGAGAAAAGAATTCATGGAACTACTTAAGTAATAAGCTTCTTTCATCCATAATTGCATTTAGGGAGCAGGGTGCTGTCTGTCTGTTTTGGTAGTTCTGGATATACCAGAGACTCTTGATAGTCTAGTTTATGCTGTAGTCAGGCAGAAATTATAACAGTGTTTGTTTAAATGTACAGTAGTCTTGCTGCCAGCTTGTAAAGCAGGAACATTTGAGATTAAGTGTGACAATGAACAGGTAATAACATGTATATATCCACAGCTAATGAATGTTTGTTCCAGTAAGAGACAATTAATGAGGTCTAAGAAAAGGCAAATGTTGAACAGTCAGGCTGTCCAGTGGGTTGCTAAAGTCAATGGGATGCTTGATATGAAGTGGCTAAAATGATCTCACTCCACTTTGTGGGGGTAAAGTGTGGTTCCCTGGTAAGCTGTGAGATGTTTGATACTACTGAGAGCGCTTATCTGTGCTGGATAGGGAAAATGGAGGGGCTGTAAGTGTTAGATCTTGGCAAATCTATACCTGCTCTAAAGTACTACACACAGGAATTGTAAGAAATGTTCTTTAGAGGAGTTGAAAACAGTGATTAAAGAATTAACTGGCTTAAAAACTTCTCCTAGATTATCTTCTGATTCTTGCAGTAGTTGTAATGGTTTAGCAATATATACATAGTGTGTAGCTTGCTATCAAATGTCTAAGCTACAATTATTTCAAGATTTCCTGTTTCCTTTGACAAAGCCAAACAAAATCCTGTTGTTTTTTATAGGATTTATGGAGAATACGGAGTCCATGTGGCACCTGTGAAGGTTTTGATGTCCAGACTATGGATGATATGATTAAAGTAAGAAAAATAGTTTCAGCGCAAGTCTTAACAAAACAAAAACCCAGTTTGTTTGGCTTAATAAAGTATTTAGTGACTACTGAAAAACTTGTGTACTAGGCAGAGCATCACTGAGATTCATTTGTATCTGTTTCTAGAACTCTGCTCTGGATTAACTGTGGAGGGGTGCAGGCTGTTGTAGAGTGGAATTCATCTCAAGAGAGAAGAAAATGTCAATGCTTTGTATTTTGAAAGTGCCCATTTCTGTTTCAGGGGCCCCAGTCACAGCCTTTGGTTTCACACATGTAGGACATTTTTTCCCTTGTGCCTAAGAATGCAATCATGCCCTCTTGCAGCTTTATGGCTTAAATATCCTGGGTTTGCATTTCTGTTGTTTTCAGTTAATTTTATTCCTTCCTTTCTTCAGGATTCTCTGAATTTTAGGGAATCCAAGGAAGCAGAGCCTCACCCGCTGTGGGAATATCCCTGCAAGTCACTCTCAGACCCACAGGAAGTTTTGACCTTTGACTTCACAAAGGCTGTACCACAGCACTGTCTCAGCACAGAGGGCTCTGTAAAGCTCTTACGGTCAGTTTTCTCACTGCAGTAAATACTCCTGTCATTATCCATTTCTTTACCTCCTATTCAAGCTCTTTAGAGGAGTTGAGTTTAAAGCTCCTTCAAGTGTATTACACTTAACTGGTGCAAATCTACTTGGCAGTTTTTAATAATGTGACCTAAGACTGTGGAAGTTGCTCTGACACAAGCTTCCTGTGGGTTTTCACAGTAGGCTATAACAATCATACAATAATGTTAGATATTGTTAGATTACATAATCTTCCTCTGTTTAAAAAAATAACATTTTACTGGTTCTCACCATGGTTTAAAACTTAAATAGATTAGTTTATAGTTTAGAGAAAATAAAACAAAACATTAGCTGGATTGTTTTGATGTTTCTGTTTGTTGCCTACTGCTGAGTTCTTGCAGAAGAAGCTTCTACTTAGCTTGTCAAATTATTGTGCTTAAAAATTAATAAATTATTATGTTTAATAGCTTTAAAATTATTGTGTTAATAGTTTTTTATGTATATGCTATTCTTACTTCTAACTATAATCCTGGCAGTCTTCATATTTTGCCACATCTTCTGAGATACTTTCCACTATAACTGTGAATTGTACTTAATTCTGTTTGAACTTGAAATGCTGGTAAGAATTAAAAAAGAAAGTTTTATTTTTTAACTATCTGGAAACACTGTTGTGTTTCTCATTAAACAAAATTCAGGCTTTCATGGACTCCAGAGCCATCTGTGTGGGGTCTCTGTGCCTTTGCAGCAGTTGTGTTTACAGGCAGCACAGTGGCATGGCCTCTGCTTGTTGTGGAGCAGGCACTTGAAGTGACACGGTGTGTGTGGTAAATATTTCCTCTAAATTCAGAGTCAATAGAAACTGAGGTCTCTAAAGGAAGTTCTCAGCGTATGCTGTGTAATTTATGCCATGTTATTCAGTGCTGGCTAAGTGGCTGTGCTGCTGAGCAGATGTACTTATGACATGTTCTCTTCCTTGCCTTTTTTTGGTTTTCATATCTGCAGATACTTTAAAATTTCTGCTCCCAATTACCAACTCAGTCAGCTGTTCAGCTTTCTTTCAAGGAAAGAAGTTGTTCATGCTTTTGCAGCTCTCACTTAAACATTAGTGCAGTGTTTAAGCTGCCAGGATTGTGTAAAGTAACAGGTTTTATCCTGCATCTCTCCCCAGGAAAGGAAAGAGCCATGGAGCAGTTCTGTGGATGGAATATCACCTTGCTGCTGATATCTCTGTTAGTACAGGACTGATGCAACTGCCAAATGAAAAGGTGTTTTTTCAGTCTAATTTATTATGTCAAAGTCTCTAGGATTTTAGTTGGTCTCTACTTGCCATGCTTGGGTTGTGTATGTCCAGTCACCCCAGGACAGTGCAGTACCCTTTCTAGCACCTTTTGAATACTGTGTCATCAGAATTACTAAAAACACCTGTTCATGTTTTTGTGGGGAGCAGGGGATGTACCTTAAAATGTGAGTCTGATTTGCATCCAAATGCTCCCTAGTTTGGAATCAAATTCAGAATTTAAATGGCATGCTAGGTCAAAGCAGAATTTTTTTCATACAAATAACTTCATCTCAGTTTAACAAAAGCAAAAATTTGGAGAGGAAGGAGTAAGTATTTTTAGTATTCTATCTCAATATTCTTTGACCAAATCCATTTTTAACTCAGTGACTTCAATGTGTGGTGTAGCAGATGGTATTTTCAGTTATGTGTTCCATAGTGGGGTGGATGGCAGTATAAATGATAACTGTTGATCATTGTGTGCTTAGCAGGGAACAAGAACTCTTACTGCATTGTTACTGTATAATAATAATATGGTAGATTTTGACTGCTTTCACTTTTAACTCTCTCCTGTAGGGAAACTGTGAATGGAATCCCCACTGCAAGCAAGCTGTTTATTTCTTCAGCTCTGTTATTGAATCAGAAATTCTGTCAGACCCTACTGCTGTCACATATGCTATAAATTTTGACACAAAGACAGGAGAGATTGCCATGGATTTTAAGCTATTATAAAATACTTTTCTCTTGCCCAAAATAATAAATCATAATAAACATACAATAATTTTTTTTTTGTACAGCAGAGGGTTTCTTTCATTGTGCTCAGAGAGCACACTGTTCTTTAACATACTTCTAACCTTTTTGGGTTTGTTTTCAAAATACAGTTAGTGAGGTAGAGAGGAACTATTTCTCAGGAACAGGTATTCTTGTCAGGGTTTATGTACATATATACACATACTTTTCATCATCTCTTTCAGGGTTTTACATAGTGTTAAGGAGGTACAAAACAGTTGACTTGACAATAGCAGCTGGTTATTGCATGGCATATCATTGGATGAGGACACCAGGCATTATCAGGCATAATCTGACATTAGAGAAAAGTGAGTTAAACACATCTCTTTCTAGGCTGTGCTCTTGTCACCATAAAATGGGAAATAATCTCCAGACTGCACAAAAAGAAATCCCATGTCAAATTTCATATGTATATTACTACACTTAATAGGGAGCAGGAAACAGTTTAGCTGTTCTCAGACTTGCCTAAGTTGTGGCTGATTATAAGCTGAAATGGCCAGTGAATTAAACTGTGGTGCACTGATGATGTAAATAATACCTGCCAGTTTGGCTAAGTTGTAAGGTGCTCTGCAGTAGTACATGTCCACTACTGAGGTTTTCTTAGTTGCTCTCCAGATCATGTTGGCTGCAGTGGCATTGTGTGAAATGAGTTCTGCTTTAGATGAACAATCAATTGGTGTATCTGTTTTGTATGTGTGATCTGTTAAGGTTTTGATAGAAAATCAATGTCCTTGCCAGTCCCAAATTATGTCAGCCATCCACAGGGATAACAGTTACCAAAGCTACTCCTATTTCCTCTGAGCAGCAGCTTTAGCAAAGTGAAAGGAATATCATAAAGAAGCCAGAAGCCTCCCCTACTCTGCTTTCCTGGTCACCATAATTCATCATTCTTGTGAGTAAAAATTCTTCCTTTTATTTTTCTTAAATGTGTGACCATATTTATAGACCCACAAGCCATCTGAAATATTCCTAAATTTTTAGATCCATTTTCCTGATGAACAGAAACCCTGCAGCTCCTCCTGAGGTCTATGAATTTCATTTTTCAAAACTGCACTTTTAAGATGCTTAACTTTAGTCTGTCATCTCTTACAGACTTTGCTGTAATATATAGGTTGCTGTTAATGAAACAGTTGTTTTAGTTTTGATACACTGTGCCTAGCCCACAGAAAGTAGGGTAGCAAATCTGTTCGTTATGGGTTGTACACAGTATTGTGTAAAGGTTGTGAAGGGAACAATAATATGGCTGAGCCTTTAAAATAGTGTAGGTTTGGCTCTTTTTTTTTTTTTTAAATAAAGGCACAGGCACAGTTGTGCAAGGCTGGAAAAGGCTGGCATTGTGCAGCTGCTCTGACTCCTGTGTCTGCCCTGAGAGAGAAAGCATGAGCTGCTATTCTGCAGTAGGAATAGCTTCTGGAAGGGCATTTAATTGCACAAGTCATTCTGGATCCAGAAAAAGAGTACAGTGAACACAAAACTTAGAGCAATATATTAGAATTTATTCGTTTGAAAAAATAAGATGGGAAAAAGTTACAGCCAAATTCACAATATTTTATTGTGTAGTATTAATTTCCTCAAAGATAACTGTGTATTGATATTCCTGAATTGTACTTGCTAAGAAAAATACAACATAAATTTGTTAAATTGCCAAAGGGAAGAAATCCACACTGATGGGAATTTGTATTTTGTTATCAGTGTTACTTACATTGAAGTTACATAGTCCCTGCAGTGGATATTAGGGATGGTGACTGAGGGGCATCCTTGTTAAATGCTTTTTGTGTTATGAGACCTGGGATTGTAGGGTGGGTGTGGTGAAATGGAAGGGCAGAGGCTGGATGCAGTAGCAGCCATCTGCAGAACTCTGTTCCCAGGGCTGAGCTGTTTGCTGTGTGCATATAAAGAAGAACATCTTAAATTTCCTTAATTTCTTTAATTTCTACACCTGGAGCAGAAATTGCATTGCTGCTATCAAAAAAACCCCACTAAGCTACCAAACCACTGGAAGGATGGAATGCTGAGCATATTTTAGTACCTGTGGGTTCCTTAGAGAAGCAAAATCTGATGGATATGCTCAGGACACCTTGTGCATGTTCTAATTCACTGTGAATGTTACCAACATCACTGACGCTTGTTGGTTTGGCTTGTGTATTTAGACTGGCACTGCAACTGCTTTAAGGATTTGGTTAAAATTGCTAGCAGCTGTTGAGGCAAGCCCTTGCCACAAGTGTGTGTAATGAGGACTTTTTATTGTATGTATCAGTCTTCCTTGACTTACATGAATTCTTCAGGTTGGGCTTAAAAACCGAATGTGACCTGTAAATTGTTTGGAAGACAGCTGCTCACAGAGGGACACTGGCCATTTCTTATACATGTGTGCAAGAACAAAATAAAAGACTGCTTCTATCTCTGTCCTCTTCCACAGAGTATTTTACTGCAGGCACGCACCTCAAAAAACCACATTACCCAGGAGCAGCAGTCAGCCTCCCATTTCTTCCCTGACCTGCCAGTAGCATTGCAGTGATGTTCAGATTTGGAAGAGCTGCTGGCTATGGGCACCCTAATAAGCAGAGCAAGAATCCTATTTTCTCTTGGAAGGACCTTATTTGATGCTGCCACCACAGGCAATTTTTTTCCTAAATGACAACAGGTTTGATCCTGACTAGGCCTGCAGGCACAGATGCACTTTCTAATAGAAACAGGATCCTCTGCCAGCACTGAACTAACAGTATTACAGTTCAGATATTGCAATAGAGCCAGTGTATAGCTGGGTAGCTTTTTTAATGCAAGACACAGGTTTTAGTCAGGTATTAAAAGTCATAATAAACTACCAAGTGTTGCCATTCACGTTTAACTTCTCAATTTTGGCTTTACTGCAGAAGTAACTATCATGTAGTTCTGAATTGAAATGAAATTTTAATAAGGTGTGGTGGTTACCACAGCACAACTCCACAAGAGGGTGCTGAGAACCCACTTCTAGATTTCTAGCACATTATAAATCAGGAAAATGCAGAGACTTGCAATGCAGCTATCTTGTGCAAATCACACTTGTGGTGTTATGAGATACACATACATGTGTGGAAGTGGAAAACTAGTGCAAAAAGTGGCAACTGCTAGTAAATCTAACCCAGACCTGCACCTGCTCTTAAAGCAGGCAGGCAACAAACTGCCTCCTGCTGAATACAGAGTGAATAGTACTCATAGGACAGTGAAGTTGTCTTGGTCCTAATGAAGGACAAGTCTTGCATTTTAAAGGGTGTTTTCTGTATCACAGCAGCTGCAATATTTGTTCCTTTATTTGCAGAACTGGTACCTTTTGTCTGAATGCTGGGCAGTTCAAGGACTGAGATCCTGGAGCTTGCTTTTCTCCTTCATTAGTCCCTTTGAAACTGCACTGTGTGGGCTTCCTGCATTTAACAAGATAGAGGATGCAGTTCAGGACTAATTCATTTAGTCACTCATCTTTTGTGTTCTATTTGTAGTTACAGCTGGTTGTTAGGGGGGGGGAAGAGACTATTAGAGCTTCCTACTGTTGGATTTTTCCAGTGATGATTGTGAGCTGAATACAATGGGTGCTTGTGTTGTCATTCTACCTTATTGACTCTGATAGCATTGCAAAATATTAATTTGGCTTGGTGCTTAATCATTGTAATACTTCACATTTCCAATCATTTAATGCAGGTTAGTGATTAAGATGCTTCTCAGAGAGGTATGTGTTGTCATCTCCGTTTTTCAGATGAGAAAAAAAACTAAGTGTGGTTTGTGTGGGTGTGTGAGTGTTTCATCTGCCCCAGGCTCACTGAAAGATTAGAGCCTCAGAGCTAAAAATGACTTGCTCAAGGCCATGCAGAATAGACTAATCCCCTGACTCCCTAGCTCTGCTTTAATCATTTGCTTTCTTAGCACAGTGTGATTTCAGATGCAGCCTTGTGAGGTTTGACTGAGATGCAGCAGATACAGACTCAGAGGCAGTAAATCCTTGGATAGCTCAGTAGTTAAAACCACCTGGGTTTTAACACAAATGTAAAATATATTTATATTATATAGAAGTTACATATTTAATATAAACATATATATTTGCAAAGCTATAGAGCATTGGTTTTGTTTTCAAAAGCTGTCATGAAGATGACCCACTTTTTTCCCCCCCAGCAGGATTCTGTCTAGGATTTGAGAGCCCCAAAGATGCCTCTTTTGTGGACAAGGGCACTAATGAATGAATGAGAACTGATGATCTTCCTGTGTGCCAAGGGGAAGCTCTGCATTTGCTGGTCTGGCTGCTCTTTACTGAAGTGTGGGCACAGTCCCAGGGTATCTTGGCCTTAAGTTACTCAAGACTGGCTGTGTTCCCTCCAGTTCTTCCTCAGGGTTTTGCTGAAGTGCAGCTGCATGACAAGCTGCAGCAGCCCCTTTGCTGTGGATTGTGCCTCTCAGTCCTGTCATTTTCCACAGCCTCTGCTCCCTCTTGCTTGCACATCACTCCCTTGGGGAAATGATGTACTCGTGCTTTGGGAGAAGGAGTGGGTGCTGCAGGTTACTGAGTGTGCTGCAGCTTCTGCAGGGTGGTGGATCCTGCTGTATCTGTCCTCACATAAGGTGCCTTCTGGCTTCCTGTTAGGGTATCTAAGAAACCAATTACTCACACTCCTGACAATCAGCAAATAATTCAAGCTGTGGCGATGAATGAGGTGGGAGGGAGAGACAAACAGCCTTCACTGCGGCACTCCAAAATGCCATATCCCTGCTCAGCTGCAGTGTTTCTAGGAATGGTTGGAGGGATCTGTGTGTCTCATCTCGTGCCTGCCTGACAGGCAGCAGCAAAGTCACTTGTGCCCAGGGGCTGATGATAGAGGATGCGGCACCATCACGTGGGGTGGAAAGGCTGGGAGTGCATCCCGAACTGGGAAGGAGCCGGCTGCTCTGCAGGACCAGTGCCCAGGGGGATGCTTGGCCAGGGCTGTCCCCGAGCTGCCATCGTGCCCTGGCACCCCTTCCTGTCAGGCTCCTGAGGGGCTGAGCTGCAGGGGGGGATGGACACGCTCTCCTAACCCCTCCCTGTGTGTCCCATTGCCCTGGGCTGTCTCCTACCCAAAATAAGATGTGTCAGCTCCTGCTGCCAGCCCACAGGGAGAGAGCAGCTGGGCAAAAGCCTTGCTGTGTTATGTGAGCAACTGTGGGACTTGAGAAATCAAAGTTCATGTGTTGAGTTTGTGCAGCTTCCAGCCTGAGGGAACCAAGAACACACAGGGGTAACAAACTGGTGTGGAGAGAATATTCAAACCATATAATTTTGTTGGCTGTTCTGCCACGTATCGTGGCATGCTGGGTACTGAGGGCCAAGGCAGTGACTTTAATGTTAATACTGACTGCTCATGTTCCTGCTGTTTTAAATCAGCACTGGTGTTTTGTGTCTCTTACCACCTAAGTTGATGCTGTTCAAGAGTTTTCCATAATGCTTCTCATTGCCTGCTTCTATTGAGTAACAATGGTCTTTGGACTCCAACTCTAGGAAGTTCCATTCTGTCAGTGGAGTTTAGGTGATGAGTCCTTAAGTTCCCCTGTTGGCATTGCTTCTTCCTGAGCCTTGGCCTAAAGTCAGTGCCCACCTCTGCTTCCTGCAGTTCCTGTGTCCCTGTTGGCCAGGCTGCTCCTGGGAGCAGAGCTCTGGGAGCAGAGCTCTGGGAGCAGAGGCCAATGGGAAAACAAGCCAGGAAGTCTCCCAGAATTAGAGACTTGAACCTCTCTTCAGCAAAAGCTCTTTCTGCCTAGCAGTACATTTCATCTAAAGTTTATGCCTCTGGAATTGATGCACAAAGCCAATGCTTTATCTGAATGCACTGAGGAGGCCACAGCTGTGGGTAGGTGTGGTACACAGTTCCAGCAGCTGTCCCATGCAGCCTGGCTGTCACTAGAGCACTAATCCTGGGTGTCCAGGACTGCGTGCCAAAGGATGGAGGGACCTTATGGCCCTCTGTTGAAAACTGTGCTGGCATATTGCACTATGACGGCTTAGTATGTGTTTCTGTTTTGTATGAAACTGTTAGGGAAACTGCATCTCCTTCATGCATTAAATGTATTTCTTTACAGCTTTCAGGGGCTTAGATTCCTGCCCTGCCCTGGCCCTTCACTTTTTGCTAATACTGACTAGTGCTCAACAAAAACTAGCAGTTCCTTCTGTATTGCATGGCAGAATAAATGAAATATGAAGTCAGCTTCTGTGTTTAATGTTAGGGTTTTATCTTTTCTTGCATTATCTTGACACACCCTGCAATGTACATGAAAAAAGAGTTTTCAGAAAGGGAAGAGGAAAGAGAAATATCTAGGAAAGACTATGTATTCATATTTCAATACAAAACAGTCTTTATGTCTGTTGTAGCAGGGTTCTCTGTTCCACAGGTTTCATTTAAATTTTGTGTGTTTTCCTTTGTGCTTGTCACAGACACGAGGCACTTCAAGGCCGGTCTCATCTGTGTGCTGTGCTGCCAGGCTGAGGGGCTTGTTTCATGTTCACAGATGACATAAAGGAAGCAGCAGGTAGAGGCACAAGCAGCATTTCCTTTCCAAAAGGGGCACCAGCACCTCAGACCCTCTCAGCAGTGCTTCCCAAACCAGGTTTGTGCTCAGGCTGAGCTCCTGGTGCCCCGTTGTGGGTGTGTTAGTGTACAGAAACAGCTGGCAGTGTGTTCCTTGTTCCAGAGTGGCAGCACTGGTGTCAGTGGGAGGTTTTGGTGAGGATGTGATGTGGCCCTTTTTTTCCACTCTCATTGAGGGCACCCTCGATGGCAGATGTGTCCCCATTTAGAATGGTGCCATTTCTGTTGTGTTCCTATGCCAGTCAGGCAGGCCCTGAATAAATACTGGGATTTTCTCACAGGAGATCATCTGTTCAGGTCGATGCAGTGCCTTACATCCAGTGCCAGCTTCCTGCTGCTTTCTTGGATGCTGCTGCCCATATCCTTTTGCTTGCAGGGAGAATATTCCACTTGTGTCCCTGCCTCTAGCTGGGCATGAAATACACTGCTCCATTTTTTACCTCCCCTAGAAGCTGAGAGCTGTGACTCTCTTTTTCAGACAGTCTGTATTTGCATTCCCTGGGTTGGCTGGGCAACAGCTAATCAAATAATTACATTTAAAATAAGATTTAACAAAAAAAGCATGTCTAAAAATAAAGGCAAGGTGTAGTCATGCTTGTCACCAACAGAACTAGTCAGCAGTGTGTGTTCTGGGGAATGTTTCCTGAGCAATTAAGGGCCATTTAATCTTTCTTAATGTACTTAACTTTTTCGGTTGCATTTTTAAAAATCTTTTTAGATGTTCTCCTATCTGTGCAGTATGTCTGCAGATCAAGTATCTCCTCCCATTCCTTTTCCTTCCATTCCCCTCTGCCCCCTGTGCTTTAAGTTCAGTCTTGTCACACAGAGCCTTGACAGGCAGCTATTCATTTCTGCTTCTTAGCTCCAGTTCTGTCCTTGTTTAAAACATGAGTAAAAATAGCAGTGTTGGGGGTTTCTAAATAATAAACTGAAGGTCCCAAACAGATAATTATATTTCCCTTATAAATTAGCATAACCTAGAAGCAGAAGAAATTCTGAATTTTCCCCCTGTCCTCAAACCAGACACGGGACTGAGTGGGACCTTCTGGGTTTTCTGTATCATCCCTTCCTGCAGCTCAGCTCAAGCATAGAATCTCTGTAAAAGTACATTCAGCTCTGTTTTAAAAGCACTGGGTTTCAGAGAGGAATTTTTTTTTTGTTTATTTTGCATTCCATTGTGGTAATTTGGAAGCTGGTTTTGAACTTTCCTGGTCTTGTGGTCAGAAACCTTCTAATTGTCAGCCCAGGAATCCAGGCCTGGACAAGGACCTCTTACACTGGGTGTGGAGCCACTGCCCAGCCCTTGACCAGACTCAGAGTTTCTTTCTGCCAGTGTATAATAAATACTACATTTACACCTTCTAATTTGCTCTGACTTTGGAACAGAGCTGCAGCATGGTGAGGTTTCTGCAGAGAGGTGAAAGGACACTCGAGGTCAGCTGTGGGCAAAAGGATTTCACCAGGTAAGCACTGTGAGTTCAAAAGTGGCAGAGTTTCAGAACTTTATAATGAAGTGGCTGCAGCATTAAGTCTTCTTTTGTGCTTACTGTGGCACACAAGACAAGTTTGGTTAAAAGTCTGAGTTTGCTGTGGCTATAAAAAAATTTGTTGGCAAATGTGGAAAAGAGGAATTAAATGTAACCAAGGAATAACAGAAAATAGAGTTTTAAATACCTGTTTCATAACAGTCTGATTTTGGGGCTGAGATAATGGACCAGGTTGAATACTGAGAATCAGTTTTTCTTGTGTGATACACCATTCATTAGAAATGCATTTAGCATAGTTCTTGGCACCATGCTAGGCCCAGTATTTTTGGTTGATTGGTTGATGTTCTGTAGACCTTGCAGCTGTCTTTTGTTTCTTGATACCCTTGATACCTTTACTAAGCAATATAAAACATTCAGTTTTGGCTTTGCTAGAGTTGGTGGTAATGTAGCAATTGACCTCAGGAAAAGTGTTTTAAATGTAGAGAAAGGTTCAGCTGGATTTTGCTAGGTGTTCAAAATTCTGAGTTGGCCTTTGGAAGGTATTTAAGAACCTGTTACAAAGAAGGTAACAATTATACCTAGGAAGGTCTGAAAAGGTAGTGAGGACATTACCCAAAGTGTAGCAGGGCTGAATGTTCAAACTGAGAATCCTCTGCTCATTTAGAAGTTCATGAACCTCTTTAGAAAGAAAAAAGGTACCTAATTATTTTTGATGTGGAAAGATGTCATCTTCCCCTCATCATGCTCATCTCTTTCTGTTCATTGTGGTGGGATCAGATACACTGGGGAACTTCAGGTTCTGAACTCCCACATCACACTACCAAGGTGTTTAGAGGTTTCTGAGCAGACATGTGATGCTGGGGCAGCATTGGAAACTCCTTCAGTTGTTTGAATCCACAGAATCCCAGAATGACTTTGGCTGGAACCTAAGACCTTAAAGACCATCAAGTTCCCCTCTGTTATGGGCAGGATGTGATTTACTAGATCAGGTTACTCAGGCTGTCATCCAGCAGAGACTGGAACTTTAAGGGATGGGACAACCCTGAATCCAGAATCTCAAAATTACAGTAGTGTTGTTGTGGAATAAAGCAGTTCTTAGCACAGCTGCATCCTGAACTCTGCATGAGCTGTCCTGCTCAGCATCTGTGGGTCCCAGGTCCCAGCCATGGGGTCTGTCCCTGCTGCAGACTCTGTCCTTTGCAGCAGCTCTGGTTCCCTGCCCTGACACTGCACTGTCTTGGCCACCATCCTGCATTTGGGCTTAATAAGGCAGAAGGATTTATATCAGTTAGTAGCTAATACAGTGTTTAATGTGTGTATCTGTGAGGCAAATTCCATTTTAGCTGGGTGGAAAGTGGTCAGGGATATCAATATTCCGTGTCCTAATGACAGCCCAGCGTTCAGGATCACATTAAGGTCTCTATCGAGCTCAGCACGCTGGCACATAGTGTTGCTGGGATTTGGAAGGGTCAAATCATCTGCAAATAGGAATGGAACTTTAAAGGCTTTTGGTTGCTTTGGACACAAACTGCTGTGTCTTGAGGAGCTTTAGGAGAGCTTGGCACAACCTCTGGTGTATCAGCTGTACTGTAGCAGTGAAAGCTGTATGGAGCTTTGGGCTTTTGTTGCAGTGTTTACAAAGGATATTCTGATACACCTGGCTACCAAATACTGTGGCACTTGAAGCACTTTGAAGTTATTCTTCTGGATTTGTCTTTGGAGATATCAAAGGTTTCCTTACAAAAGGGGAAGGGAGTGTTTGGCAGTGGTGGGCACTCTGTGAGTTGGTGAGATGCTCCTGTGGGAGCAGCAGAAGGTGAAGTGTCAGCTTAGAGAAACTTCCAGAGGGGCAGAATAAGCGGGTGCTGTTTTCTAGGAATTCTACCATTTCCAGACAGGGGAGCCAGCTGAAAGCTGTTGTGTTAATAGGAACATGCAGAAAATGCCCCTTTATTTTGTGGTTATATTCAATGATCTCATCCTTTAAAGCACACAGGAAAGCTGTAGCATTTTTCTGCTACAGTTAATCTCCTTTTCTGATTAGTTGTCCATTCAGATGTGGTTCTTGATACCACAGGGGGGAGGTATCAGTGGCTGAGCACAACCTTAGCAGCTCATGTGATCTGCAATAGTATGATACGTCTATCAGACTCAGGAAGGAGTTTTGAGGGTGTTTGGGGAGGAGGAATATACTTCCTGAGTTAAATGTTGATGGAGATTCCATCTTTTTGTGTCATATTCTCAGATCTTTTTTACTCCTCCCATTTTCTTCTAATCTTTCCTTTAATTAATGTATATTTTTTCCTGTCCACATTTAATGCTTGTAAGGAGCAGTGGTTAAATCTACCATTATGTAAAATATGAGAAATGGGATTGTTGTTCTCCTGCTAGTCTTCCTAGTAAGCCACACACACTGATTTCACAACTGGCTTCTTGGAGGCTTCCCTAAATGTCAGGGAAAGTATGGAAGAAAATTGGCATACAGATTTAGGAGTGGTAGATGGGAAATCTGGAATAATCTGAAAGGTCATGAAAATGTGGATGAGCCACTTCAGTTTCCTGCAGCAAGGAAAATTTCTACACCAAAGTATTAAATAGTCAAAGAAAAGGGCTACAAGAATAATGGTTTCAGCAGCATTCTGAGCAGGAATTTCAGTGGGATAGGGAGGTTTGTGTTTTAATAATTGTGCTTTGCCAAGGGAATCTGTAAAATAGGCAGTCAGATGGCAGTGCTGTTACAGTGCTGACCCACAGGCAGCTGTGGACATGAATTCACCATGAACTACACTGCAACTCCTGGCACAGGGAGCAGAAGTTTTCTGTACTTGTTCTTATAACTGTCTGCAATATGCAAATATCCAAGAAATTACTGTGTTTTTAACTTGTAATTTCTTAGCACTTCATAGAAGGGAACCCACTCATGAGCTGCTCACATAATAACCAACTGCAGCAATGGGAAAATAGGTCAGGTATTGCAAAAGAGGCAGTCTAGGAATCTACCACTGAAAAATCAAGTCTGTCAAAGTATAATGCAGTGGTAGCATCAGAATGCAGACAAAAATCACCTGTGCAGCAATGGAGAAAGCTGCAGAAATCCATCTCTAATGTCCTGTCTCACAGGATGGGGTGGTGCTTTCCTGAGGCAATGACAAGAAACTTGTGCACTGTCCTTTTTCTTAGTCATTTGCATTCCACTGATATCATCCTTTCTGCTTGTGGAAAAAATAAATTCTTCAAGAAACGGTTCCCTACTGGCATTTAAAGGACTGTTTGGGAAGACTAAACCAGTTTAGTTCTTTTCTCTTGACATTGTTCTGTTAACAACTGTACAAGGAGTGTG